TTACCCAATTTTAGCCTTTTGCTTGGGCTTGGATGACGCCACAATCCGGGCCTTCTTGGAACTCTTATTCTTGCCTCTGGACTTGGAAGAACCTGCCCTGTGACTGCGGTGCTGAGACGATGAAGACGGAAAGCATTCGGGACTCATGACGCGTGGAATATTTTTCTCTCCCCTCTCTCGTGCTTTGGCGATGGCCTCCGAGATTATTCGATTGGCCTTCTGTTGTTTATCGTCCGAAAGAGATGAATCCATCTGCTGCTGCGGCTGCTGCTGCTGTTGCTGATGTCGCTTCGGCACCCTCTTCTCAGACACGGATACGTACGAGGATGACGAAGAGGAAGAAGAGGAACTGTTTTTCACTGGAGGGCTGAGTACCCGAGGCTGGCTGCTGGGACCATTAGTGTTCTTAGGAGGCTGTGAGAAAAGAGAGAAAAAAAAGATGTTACCATCCAACCATGATATTAATGTTCTCCATAGGACTAGCTTCATCTAGAATTGTTGTGTAGGCAGTGCTTTACAGGAAGCCAATAGATAAGTTTCTATTTCAGGATTCTGTAATTCCATATGCTAAACCCATGATGAACAATACACTATTTAAGATACCATGACGACATGTAGACTAGTCTGCCGGTCAATTTGAGAGTGCTATACAACATGAAACAGAACGATGAGCTGCATGAACAGCTATAACATTACTCCTCTAGTCATGACCTAGAAAACTTGGACTCAAGTGGATGTAAATACTTTAATAGGTTTCTTATTAAGGGGGACAAAGTCAGAACAGTGAAACAGCTACTCTGCACGTAAGACTAAAGGTTCTGTAAGTGATTTAAGATGTTTCACTAACTTTCACCATTATGTTAACTTCAAGCACACAACCTCTCTCCAAAACCTAGACCTCCAAAGAGATCCAAGCAACCTAGAATGTGAAAAAATGTATTTTATAAATTAAAATGAAAATAATTTATAATAAAATTAATGACCAACCAGCCAAATGCAGGTAGTTTTGCAGGTAGTTTTACATAATATGTACAGTGAAGGCAAAGCTCTACAGGTACAGTACCTTTTGATAATGTCTGATTTAAAGAAATTGGGCTCAAAACAAAAAATATAATAACAGCGTCAATGAAAAGTTAACTGAGCCGCAATGTAATGAAAGTAGAGACAAATACATTTTTTTTCTCGAATTGTGACATATGGCAGGGACTTGATTCTATTCAGTTGTTGATTGAATGGAGGCAGATCTGCATGTGAGCTTGCAGTCGACTAAAATAAAGGGCTGGGGTTTAAGCAGGCTAAATGATGAAAGAAGTCCAGCATATGTCAGAGAGAAGTCTGTATTTTCACTGGAAGATCCAGTTATGATGTTTTGATTAAAAATTATGGGCTCAAAAAAAAAAAGAAGGAAAAAAAACCCTGAAATGTATGCATTTTGTTCAAAGTAAGATTAATAACATGAATTTGGAAGATAGGGGGATTTCCATTTCATGCTGATTTTAATTAAATTAAAAGAAACCAGGGATTGTGATAGTTCAAAAAAACAAAGAAAATATGTTTTTTTCTGCACATTTTATATACGCCTATATCAGGAATGGGCAACTTCAGTCCTGAAGGGCTACTGTCCTACAGAGGCTGTTTCTCAATACCAAGTGCACAAGTTCGGACTTGCGTCCTTGGTAGTTCGGACTTGTTAAGTTCGACTCAGGAGAACGAACTCCCGAGGAAGAGAGTCCGGTTATTCTGCAATTGGAACAGCGCGTTATTGATCGCGTCACTCCGGATGCTCTGACTACTCCGGTTATCCCTTTATGTATATTTTAGGCAACAATAAAACGAAATATGCTATAAAACACCACTCTGCGTCTTTTCATAAAAATAAATAAATAAAGCCTCAGCCAAAACGAATTTTTTGCCATGGAACAAACTATAAAAAAAAACAAATTATACGTCAAGTTTATCCACTAGACTAGAGACATAAGCGCCAGCGGTAAACGTCGGAAGCACTAGCCGAGGAAAAGCTGTTCCAGTCGGGGTTGATGAGCAATAAGCACCCAGTGAACGCTTGGATGTCACAACTCCGAAAACGTCAGATACATTTTTCAAACTTTATAAATAAACCACAGATTTGAGATTTAAACAACCACATTCTTGCCTGAAACAGTCTTAAAAATACATTTCATGACAAAATAACAGTAGTATTTTGATATTACGCGGGTTTTGTCCTTTGCTATGACACTTGCTGGTTGGTGCGAGATGCATTCTGGGATACCTGGCTGTCTCAAGTCCACACAAGTCATCTCTCAATGCATCCTCGGTAAGCGGGGCGGATCAAGAACACATCCGGGGATCTGAACTGGACTTGGCTAGAAATGAACTTTGAATTTGAATAGTATTTGGGCAGTGAATGATGACGTTTCACAAGTCCACAAGAACACAAGAATGCATATTGAGAAACGGCCAGAGTTTAGCTTCAACCCTAATCAAACACACCTGAACAAGCTAATCAAGGTCTTCGGGATAACTAGAAAGTTACGGGGAGGTGATTTTTTCAGGGTTGGAGCTAAACTCTGTAGGACAGTGGCCCTCCAGGACCGAAGTTGCCAATCCCTGGCCTATATATTTGAACTGGGAATTTCACCAGCCTTTGTGCCTGGAGGGCAAAACATTTAATTGGATACCTTGTTGACAGGCAAATAACATTTCTGAATGGCTGGTTTACTGATTGGCTAAAACATGTCTCGCTCCCCTGGTTCTATTTTGCAGTTACAGTGTCTAGGGCTGTTACTGAGACAGGTGTGATTTCTCACGACACCTTTTACAGTGAGGCCTGTCAGGTAGTAGAGGCACTTCATGTGCTTACAGCTCAAATACCATTTAAGAGTTTGGGGTCTTTCTTTACCCAGCTCAATACAGGTTGAGAATTTAATAAGCACACTAGGTATTTCATGACCTTGCCAGTAGACTAAACATAAGAGGAAGTCCAAGATAAAAATCCTTGGAGATCCTTTCTCAATCTGATTGTAGCTGAAGCAGTGCAGCATGGTAAGCCTGAGTCCACCCACACATACTGGATGACAACATGGGAAATCCTCCAACTTTGAACTGCTGCATCATCAATGTTCTTAAAGCTTGGGTTTCATAATATCCAGTGCTATCCACTCACGTGGCCAACCAGCTATAGCCTAGAGGACGATAAAGGAAAGGTTCGGACAACTGCACAGGCAAACGCAGAACACCACGGAGGGCAGGCTGCACACTCATGCACGCATTTATAACTATATCACCAGTTTAAGCATTTAAACATGATAGATCATTTTTGTAAACATATGGAATAGAGGTGTTCAGTCACAGTTCATCAGAATGGCATCACCCACTAATCAAAGGTCAAGAATTGAAATCATCAACCTGAGAGCCAGTTTTTTCACATTATCCACCCTCACCCCACGAAATAAAAAGACAGACATGTATAATTCACCGCACGGTCATATAACAGGCCGAGACATGACAACTTTTATTATTCATGCCCATTTCGCTGACTCCAATTCCTAAAATTCTCACACTTATTCTCACCAGGAAAGCAGGTAAAGTGAGTTTGAACCCCATAAAGAAGGAGAACGAGATCTTATCTTTTACTTTATTGGGTTTTATTTTGCACACTTGCTCTTTATAAACATGACACATGTCCAAAGCAATGTTCCTGTCATGCCAATAAAGCTTTGTTGACTCAAAAAACAACAAAAAGAGACCGCAAATAAAATCGGATCACCCGCCTGTGCTTTCCTGATGGCTAAATAAAATGGAATTATCTGGAAAGAGTGAAACAAAAGAAAAGAGTGGGGGAGGGTTATAAACACTAACTCATTCGGTGGCTAAACATGAGCCAGAGAGCAGTGAGACTGAGCTCTCCTGAAATATTCACACTAATCCATTTGAGGCATGAAGGGGTAAATCAACAGGAATGGAGACAAGGAGAAAAGCTATAGGGGAAAGGAGGGAGGGCGTATATGAGAAAATGAGTAATAGAGAGAATATGACGTGAGCGAGCAAGAGAGAGAGAGAGCGAGCGAGGGGAAAATGCAGCAAGCCATGAGCACTGCAGCTATGTTACACATCTATAAATAACTGAAATTACAGGCTGCCAGCGCTGCAGCAATTTCAATCTCTCTCCTCGCTCAGGTCATCAACGTCACCGCTTATAATGAAACTATACTGGAACAGAAACGTGCATAAGGCACTGCCGCTCAAAGCCTGATGCGCACATGTGGCACATCCCACGGACCAAAAACGAAACAGGAAGAAAAGTAGACAAGGCACCAAAAGCTAGCTAACATAGCATTCCCTGTTAGCATGCAAGCTAGAAAATAAGAAATGGAGAGAAGCAGTTAGCACAAGATGGCGGCAATTGTGTAGCCTGCCGCATGAGCCTGTAGCTGTTCAGTTCCTGCTGGCCCCCTCCCCCACCTCCACCCTTTCCTCCCCCTCCTCCTCCTCCTCCCTCCCCCACCCCATACACAAACACATGCTCGCTCTCTCACTCACTCACTCACTCACCCGTCCTCTCGGTCTCTTCACCGTAGACATGTTTTTTCTTTTCTTCTTTCCCCCCTCTTCCCTCACTCCAACCGCCAACAAAAGCCTTGCCCTTTCGCCGTTTTCTCTCTCTCTCTCTCTCTCTCGCTCTCCCTCTCTCTCTTTTGCACACTCCCTCCTCCCTTCTCTCTCTCTCGCTCACTTTCGCTCTCTCCCTTCCTCCCCCGGCAGGTCCGTGGCTGAAGAAGCCCTGTTCACCACCTCCTCCTCCCCTGGCCGGGCTGCATGGAGCCGCGCTTCACGGAAAACGAGGGAATGAGGAAGAGATTGATGAAGCAGCCACGCTGGTCCTGGATTCTCTCATTCTGCTGTGCTCAGTCTATTCTTTTCCCTCCCTCTCTTGCTCTCTCTTTCTCATCGATTCCCTCCAACCGTCCGTCCGAGAACAACTGCACTCGATCTCGCCCGGCCGTCGTTTTCTCGTCCACTCTCTTGCGTTCACACACACGCATAGACCAACAAGACTTCTCGTTCCTCTTTCTCCTTTCACATACCAGACGAAGGTAGGATTGCTAACACAAAAGGTTTTTTGTACTGGCTCAGTTGGACGCTTCGTAGCTTGTTTTCCTTATTTCCACTTGTTTTCTTTCCTTCCTTTTCCCTTGTTCCCCTCCCCTCTCTCAGGCTGGGGTGTGTGCGGCGAGCAGGAGACGCAGACGCAGCGGCGAGAAATGAAAGCACAAAGCAGCAAAACGCATCAGCATGAATATTAGAGATGTCGTTAAAATCCGGACTCGTTTTTCTCTCTCTCTCTCTCTCCCTTGCTCGCTCACTCTCTCTCTCACCCTCTTTAGCTCATTGTGAAACAGGAGGTCCAGCAGAGGGTGCTAGCTGTTATTACATTAACTTTCACAACTTAACCCTAAAAATACTGATTTTTTTTCTTGCTGAATCCAACCAGGCATAAAAAAAAAAAATTAACAACAACAAGTGTTCAAGAAAATGAATACACCTACTACACATACATTCAACAGATAATTTGCATTAAAACATCTTTGTTTTTTATCCAAACAAGTAAAATAAAATGACAATTACAATTTTAAATGCATCATAATCATGTCAGCACTACAATCATCAGATTTACACACACAGGCAGGTGGCATGAGTTCATGTGCAGCTGGATCGACTAACAGGAAGTGACAACATACACTCAAAGGGAAATGAGGTTGTGTCCTCACTTTCCCAAAGTGTGATAGATTGGCCATGTGCAACTGTTCACATGCACTGCAAAAAACACTTGTGGCCACACATACACACACAGCAAAAACGAAAGCAAGTGTTTGCACTCTGAAAAAATAGAGAGGAGGAAAACGAGTGTTTATGCCACACCCCAATCTGAAATGACACACAAAAGTGGGTCAGCTTAGCATAAGAATCTTACAGAGTTGCAGAGAGATTAGATTTGGCAAGGCCTAGCCTTGGGACTAGAGTAAGATCAACTTTTACAAGGTTAAATTGAGTAAACGCAATACAAGAGACCTGAAAGTCATTTAAAAACACCCCTTCTCACTAGGTGGCACACTGTGTAGCTGCAGCATGTGCAGATTTCTCCTCTGGCAGTTTACTAGGTACAATACTATGGAGCCCTAAAGGGACATGGTGGTGGAAAAAAAAATATGAGATGGGGTGGGGGGGGGGGGGGGAGTCAATTATTTTGCGCTCTGGCGCTTACCCCGATAAACCTTGTTTGAACAAAATATTTCGAATTGAACTTGAATTTGAATTTGAGTTCGAATTCGAATGCAAACGTTTTTGTGAGAAAACTCAAAGTTTCTCGGGGGAACGGAAAACGTTAACTAGAGAATGCAAAAACACTGACAAATAATTTATTCCATCTCATACATTTCTTTTACCACCATGTCCCTTTAAGGGCTCCGTAAAATACAATGTTCTGTAACAGGCTTTGTGTGACCGAGAGAGATAACAAAACAGAGAGAGAGCGATAACAAGGCCTTGAAGTTTGGACTCAAATGAAGGCTTCAATAGACAGTTCATGCGATCATCTACTTACATGCAAAAAATAAAATGAAATTAATAAATATAGATAATAATTAAATAAATCATATAATGAAATATGCCTGTAATTTGTAAAGAGAATGTGGTAATGTGAAAATGTTATTGCTAAATTACTAAAAGATTTATAGGATTTGCTTAGTACTTCATTTTATGTGCAAACTGTATTTGTGTGTACAGGCAGCCAAGAAAGAATAACTTAGAAGATGAATAAAGCAAAGAAAAGAGTGTGCTTGTATGTACCGTAGGGAGGAAAAAGAGATATGTACATGTTCTGAAGGTCACATGGCGCAAACCACCTCTACACCATGGCAACCAAATGGTTAATATGTAAATAAGATGAAAGCATCACCAAATATTGGGAGGAGTTCAGCTCCACAGAGAAAGAAAGAGAGGGAGAGAGAAAGAGTTGCATAATAACCAAGTTAATGAAAGAATACAAGCTTGATTGTCTTTTTTTAACTGACCTAGTAAAAAAAAAAAAAAAAAAAAAAAAAAAAACTACAAATCAATGCGCTAAATGCAGTAATAATGACATTGTTTGAAACCTGGAAAACTGTAGCAGTGCACCAGTGATGACTTGGACCCATAAGCCCACAGTAAGCAGGGTCTACATTAGCACTATTCTGGTACTGACCACACCAAACATACAGTAGTGGCCAAAAGTGATGTCTTGAGAGGAAATTTGTTTTTATTGGCACTACAAGTTTGATTAAACCAACAAAATCCTTCGACCTTCAAAGCTCCAAAGCCTAACCACGAAGATATCATAAGACTTGAGTGGAGTGGGCCCTTTTAGGCCAAAAACACCCAGCACACCCTCAACCCCAGATGGCAACATCCAACAAATACTCTACCTCTACCTACTAAATACTACCTTGGCATCTACATAGCAACACATTTAAAACCACCCACAAAACACCCGCATCAGGAGGTAACATTTGCACAGTCAAGAAAAATTGAAAAAATTCTGTTTAAGCCAGTTCTTTTTCCTGCTGTTGATGACCTCCCTATTAAGTTTAACAAAAGCACTTTTATAAAACCCTTACTTAAATGTCCCATTTTCACACACTTATGACATATTAAAGTTCTCTCACTTGATTCTGAGTAGGGATGAGACGATTACCGGTTTCAAAATAAACCACGATAAAATGTACTGACGATTAGTATTATCGTTTAAAATTTAATTAGCATTTTAAAACACTTTATTCCAATCCTTGATTCTGATTGGTCATTAGCTGTGCTTTTTTCATGTTAAAACACGGCTATGACCGCTTCACCCAACGGTTCTATTTAAGACTGCAGTTCCTGTTGTTTTTATTTGAGCTTTCAGTTTCATGCATATATTACACACATTAGAACGTTGTTGCTGTTCACGGTCAGGGACTATTTTGTTTCTAGCGGAAGGAAGGCTTTTAGTAGGGAGACGCAAGACGGCGACAAAGTTGTATTTGAAAGAAACAAGAACACTCGTCCGTTGTGATACATGAATGTGCGCTATGTAATAATGCGTTGCTATTGACGACGGTCATTATAAAGAAGGAAATGGCACAGAATAGAATCTTGTTTTAAAAAAAACTGCATGGAGTTGCTTATTTATTTGTTGTTTGTTCATTTTCAAATATAAAACTTGTTGAAATGTTTTCAGTGTGAGCATCAGGTCTTTTTGAACACTTTCATCTCATTTATCAAAACCGTGATAATACTGATAAATCAAAATCACAATACTTTTGGACATGAAATTTCCATACCGTCCCATAGATCTGAGCTTTTATAACAGTCTAACACTGTAATGATATCCCTACCCATAACCTAAAATTTGTGTCCTGCTTAGGTGAAAATGAATTACACTGTCAGGACCAGAGAGAGAGAGTTTAGAGTCCATAATTAGGACTAGACCTGCAGACTAATGTGGAGTACAGCGGATAGAGCTGGAGGAAAGAGAGGATTAATGAGGGAAGGCCTGATGTGTAGCATTGGTTTCCTGAACCCATTAAACACGAAGGCTATTAATGACCCACACAGTACACACCACAAATCCCCTCTAAAACACACACACACACACAAACACATTACACGTATTTGCTTTCACACGTTATTCAGTGCATAAATGGTTTCAAAAACATAATGGCCACATGCAAACAAATCTATCATATCAGTTTTTTTTTTAAAGAAGTAAAATCTATGATACCAATACCAAACAATAACTGAGGTACAAAGCAAAAGCATTTTGGCCAATATAGACCTAATGTAGCCCCGCCCCTTTTTAGCATTGCGCTCGTTGTCTTTTGACTTCCGGTCTGTATTTTCACAGCGATCTTGCATAGGTATGACTGAACTGCTCGTAAAAAAAAAATCCTGGTCGATATTTGTTAAGACATCTGCTTTACAATGCTTATGATAAACATTACAATGCTCATGATAACTTTTGTTAACTCTACAATAAGTAAATCCACTTCACCAGCTAATTACTCCTCGATTATGCCATAGAAATATACAGAGCGACTGCAAAAACGGAAGTTCAAAGACAATACTCTAAAGATGATGGCGCCCACGTTTCTCTGATGCATAAGGTCTATACAACATGTTTTTTGCAGCATTAATTAAAGCCATTTGCAGACATGTTTGTTGCGCGTGTAAAGGCAATGGCCAATCAGAAGTGTAAGTTAGTCAGAATACGCTCAATATGCCACAGTGTGTTCTGCATGATGCCTGCATACTTGCTTTCCACTCATACATTGAGCGTGAACTGAAGTGATAACAGCTTGATTGATTCTTTGTTTCTGTATATAATTTTGTTTGACATTGTGATAACCATAGCATCATAGACGCTATATAGATGCCACATAGCAAATCGATCCTTGCATTAAGTCTTAAAAAACAGCCACTTGTTCTGTTACCTGCAATGTTTCTTTATTTTTCATTTTATTACTAAATTTTCACTTTATATTGTTAATGCAATTATTTAATTAAACAATATTTGAAGGCTACATTCTAATGTTTTATTTTCTTATAATTATTGATAGTTTAAGTAATTCATTTATTTGCTATGTTTATTTTCAAATAATAATTACAAAAATATATATTATAATAAAAAAGATAATTTTTTTCTATGGTAACGAAATTAGAACAGAGCACCATAACCTGTACTGGTATTGGTACCAACTATTACATTTTGGTAACATGAGAACACTAATTCAGAGTTTGGTTGGGTGACCTAGTCTGTCTCAGAGGATACCATGTTAACACATAAATATACATGAAACAAATAAATTAGGCTGCATTGTAGATTAATAACTGCTAGTGATAGACACAGACAGACAGACAGACAGACAGACAGACAGACAGACAGACAGACAGATAGATAGATAGATAGATAGATAGATAGATAGATAGATAGATAGATAGATAGATAGATAGATAGATAGATAGATAGATAGATAGATTCGTAAGTTGTGCAGGCCATGAGGAACCAGGAAAAGAGAAACATGCCGGGGGTGGGGGGGGTGGGGGGGGGGTTGTAGGGGGGAGAAAGACAGCACACAGCGGGTAGCCTCCACTAGACCTTTACACTTCTTTCATTATTTAGAGCAAAAGGGAAAGACTGAGAAAACAAAACACACTGTCAGATACACATGCAAACATCACTCAAACACACTGAACACCATTCACAAAAATGCAAATTCTCAAATCAAAGTACACATACTGACAAATAAAGAGGAAGAACCTGCCAATTTGTTTGCCACTCTTGCATGCTATGCTGTGACCAGAGAAAAAAGTAGGGCCGTAAATGACACCGTGTTCACCAGTGTACCACGTACATTTCTGAAATGTAGAACTTGGGACAGTCACTTCTGATAACAGATCACTCTAAATTGAAATGTAGACAGACACAGGCATTTTCTGTAAAGCTCCTATGAAACGATATGTTTTGTGAAAAACGCTATACAATTAATTGTGAATTGAATTAAACGAGAATTCTACGCATCTTTATAGACTTCTACATATTTTTATGCAATTTATAATTCATATTTATTTACCATCTTTTCATTTTTTTTTATTTTACCCAAATGCTGTGTATTGCTATTCAATGGTTTAATTAAATTTTAATAAATCAAAAAGCGTGTCTACAAAAAAAAAAGAAAAAAGAAAAAAAAGAATGAAAATCAAACCAGCAAAGCAAAGGAACACTCCCTTTATAATAAATGAAGCCGATGCCACTTTAATCTAGTTATAATATAATAAAAACATCTGTATGCACAATGAATCCTTTACATTTTCTGGATTCATATCATATTCAATAGTTTAAATGCTAATAATCAAGCATGTATAAATAAAATTAAACTTCATTTTATTTCACCACAGTAAGACATTCATGTAAGGAAACTGTACTGAAAAGCACAGCAAAA